AATGTTGGCTGGCATCATGGTCGTTGGTTTGTGCTTGAGGACAATGAGTCCTTTGGAGATCATGTCACAGACATGATGCAGTTTGATGTTGTAGTGTTTGATTCTTGAGTGGAACATGGTCTGCTGCTGGTTGACAATTGTGATCATGCTCTGGTTGTCGTTGTGAATGATGATTGGGTTGGACTGGTTGATGTCAAGGCTGATGAAGAACTTGTGAATGTAGATCACTTGCTTTGTTGCTTTGGAGATTGAGTTGAATTTGGCTTCAGTGGAGGAGAGAGCAATGGTGGTCTGTGTCTTCAAGGTCCACATGATGCGTCCTCCTGTGAGTAGGAAGAAGCTGATCAGGATGAAGTCAGTTGGAGAGATGGAGTCTGGTTGCCAGTATGTGATGGCCAGATCTCAGCTGCCCTTGAGGTAGTGTAGGATCTGTTTTGTGGCAGTCCAGTGTGTGTTGTTGAAGGATGCCACGAAGTGGGAGAGGTAGCTGACAGTGTATGCAATGTCTGGTCTCAATGTGATGGTGATGTAGAGCAGCTTGCTGATGATTTGGTGGTATGTATCTTGTTGCTTGGCATTTCACTGTTGTTGAGTGTGAGTCTGACTCCATGGGTGTTGTTGCTGGGTTGCAGTCACTCATGTTGAATGTCTACAGGAGCTTGTTGATGTGACCATATTGGTGGAGTTGCATGAGTCTGCTGATGTGGTTGTAGTTGATATTGATGCTGAGGATTGATATGGCAATGCTGAGGTCCTTCATGGTTAACTTGTTGGATAGGATATTCTTGATGGCAGGTTTGGTGATGATGAGGCAGTCATTGACATATATGGAGATGATTGCCAGGTTCCCCCCTTGCACTGAATGTAGACACATGTGGTTCCACAGGAACAGGAGGGGAGCTTGTTTCAGACTGTACAGGCTTTTGTTGAGCCTGCAGACCCAGTTGGGGTGTTCAGTGTCAACAAAGCCTTCATGTTGGCAGACATATATCTCTTTGTTGATGTTGGTGTGTAGGAACACTGTAGTGACATCCATGAGGTGTACAGCAAGTTGATGAAGCACAGTGTAGGTGAGCAGTAGGCGTAGGACTTCCATTTGGATGACCAGAGTGTAGGTTTTGTCATAGTTGATGCTGTAGATCTATGAATATCCCTTCCCAATAAACTGAGCCTTTGGGCAGTCAAGGGCACCACTTGCAAGGTGCTTGACCTTGAAGGTCCAGCAGGTGCTGATGGCGTGGTGACTGTCTGGTAGGGGAACCAGGATCCATGTTGCACTGTCAATAATGGACTTGAGCTTCTGCATGGCCAGGAGCCACAGGTGAGTGTCAGGTGATGCCATTGCTTTGTGGAAGTTGTGTGGCTCACACATTGGTGTTGCTTTAACATGGCAGCCTGGGGCGCGGTGTATGGGGGCATCTTGGAGGTTGGCACATGGGGTGATGTAGGGGGAGAGGAGTCCTGAGGTGAGGATGGAGGAGAGTCAAGCTCACTGAGAATGTCAGTAATGGAGGTGTCCACCTCCATGTGAATGGGGACAGTTTGTTGTGACATGAGTTGAAGGTCTGATTGATGCCAGGGCTTGTGTCATCATTGAGGGGCATGTGTGCCAGTTCAGGTGCGCTGGCAGCCATGTTGTTGTGGTCATCACTGGTTGGCACAACACTAGGAGTTGGTCCAAGGTAGTGGGCCTCAATGCCTTGTGGGTCCAGCTTATTGCACTTGTGGTGGGGGAGTAGCAGGTAGGCATGTGTGCTGAATGGGTGAAGGTGACTGAGGGTGGGCACATTGCTGTGTAGCATCTTGTGAGGGGAGTGGTTGTTGTTGGCACATGTAGGCAACCAATTGTGGACATGGACCACTGTGGCAATGGCCTTGGCTGAGAAGGTGGGGTAGCCTGGATGAGAAGAGCATGGCCCTGGCCATCTTAGAGTGGTTGAACCACTCTGCTATGCTGTTGTACTGAGGTGTGTATGGTGGTGATGGGACATATTCAATGCTGGATGTGTGTAGGAGAGCCTGGATGTTGTGGCAAGAGCTTGGAGCTGGGTGTGATGGCATGGAGGCCCTGGAGGCAGCAAACTTGAGGTGGTTGAAACCAATGTGGCCCATGCACAGGTGGTTGTAGGTTGTGGGGCATGGTGTGCTTGCAATGAGGGCCTGCTGAGTGTGGGCCAGGGGTAGTAGATTGATGATGAGCATGTTGCTGGCAAACCACACCAGCAGGGGAGGGAATGACTGTAGCAGGTGCTGGATGGCAGCGCCAGATCAGTCAAGGCAGATGGTGCACCTGAGCTGGACTAGACAGCTGGTGGAGATGAGGTTCTTTGTGAGGTCCAGCACGTATAGAACATGTCCAGTGGTGGTGGACGTGGTGGTGACATTGGCGTTGCTGTTGCTGCACATGCACCACTCCTTCCTCTTGGGGCAGTTCCCTGTGCTGGGGGTGTTAGTACCCTGGTTGGGGTGGGTTGCTGTGGCTTCACAACACAACAGGGCCCATAACCTGTTGGAGAGTATGAGGGAGGTGTGAGAGAAGATATGATGTGTTGTTTGTTGGAGCAAATGACAAAGTCCAAAGACTACATCCCAGGTCCATGTCTGTTGGCAACACACTCACAGACAACATCTAGACAATGAAAAAAACACATTTTTTTTGGGTGGACAAGTGTATTTTATTGCTTCTTACAGTCCAGAGACTGGTTGAGGAAGCCAGGTGACAATGGATCGAGACTGTTCCAGGTTGATTACAAGCAGAGTGTAGTAGCCAGGTGGCTGATAGGCGAATTCTGCTTCTACAAAGTTCACAGTGTTGCAATCAAGGGGGTGGTCAGGTGGCTGTTCCTTGCCCAGCATGCTGTGGTCAGCAAACCAGAAGTGCACATCATCATCAGGGGTGGGTGGGATGTGCAAGACCACAAGGATGAGGAAGTGGTGTGTGGGAGGGCATCCCAGCACATGAAGGAGGGCGATTCCACGCCAGGCTTCCACACCAAGAAGGTCTGTGTTGATGAAGTTGGTTACAAGGGCTGCATACACATCATCCATGCTCACTTGAAGGAGGCTGTCATTTCCTTCATAAAGAAACTGCTTCACTTTGGTGAATCTTTTCAACAGAAATGGTGGCCTCTTGACATTGGTGATGATTTAGTGATGCAATGCTATGAGACCCAATGTGGAGGCTGCCCTGTTGGATACCAGGATGGCTTTTTGTTGTTGGATCCTACATTGACAATGATGGTCAGGCTGTTGGAACTGTGACACCTTGGGTGGAACAAGATTTCAGACAAAATGTGGATGAAGAGTACCTGTGCGCCAGTTTCAGGGTGGTGGGCCACTTGCTGATTTCTTTGCCCAATGGAAAAAACAGACCCTTTCTCTCTCACCCTTTCTTTACACTCTTTCTTGCTCTCAACACAACCACATGTCCTTCTACAACCTTAGCAAACAGAAGAAGCGCCAGCAATCAAACTGGCTGGCAGGTTGTGTTGTGCCTGACTGTTGTGGCCTTCCCCCACCTCCACCCCTACCACTGGAACCCCCTGAATCTCTCATTGCAGCCCTCTGCTGGGAGTGCACTGTGCTGGCTTCACATCTGCAGCAAGCAACCATGAGCTTAAATGTTGCACATGAGGCCATCATCTGGAGCATTGGCTCCTCCATCATCAGTGAACTTCAACCAACCTATTCCCTCTCTCCACCTGATCTGCAGTTCTCATGCATCCTCAACTTCTACAACACCTTCACCAGACACTGGGATCCTTACACTCCTGCACACTCTTGTTGTGGCTATGACTTCTATTGTTGCTGCACATCTCTCCATCTCTTCCTTCCCTGCCTGCCTGGCTGGGATCTCTGCTGCAAGTTCTCCAGTGCACTTTCTGCTGCACCACTCTCCTACCAGCCTATGTGTATGTGCGGGTGCCGCCCCCGACCGCGCTGGTAAACACACTGAGGCGGAAGGCCTCTTCCTGAGCCATATGGCCCAATAAAAAGTAATGGCCTTGTCCAGTGAAATGTGTGTGTGCTAAATACAAATAAAAGCTGTGTTTGAAGAAGAGGACAGTATGTCTACCAACTACACAGAGGAAGCTGGTGAAGGAGGAGAAGGAGGTGAGGGGGACTGCTGCCACTGCCATTTGGCACAGGGAGCACTATTAACCTTGTTCTTCTTCATAACATGTTGGAGGCGATGATCAGCTGCGCCGCGTAGTACAGGGGCAGGCCCAAGAACGGCGTTCTCGGGTACCTCGCTGACGAAGGCGTTCCTGGCGCGCTCAAGTCGCTGATGACAACCAAAACACCAACAATATGCCCGCGGCGAAAAAACAAATAAAAAAGAGCGAAAAGCGTCAGTCAAAAAGAGAGGAAAACAAGAACGGAAAGCTTGGTGGTGATGGAGAGACGTAACACGTGAAGATGACGAGCATGTAGATGACCACGACATACTTCATGAAGCCCTTCAGGTGGTTCCGAAGGTAGGCGAAGACCAGGGCCACCTGCGGCGCCATCACCGCGCAGCCGCCGGCCACACGTCCCTTCAAATTCGTTTGGCGCATGCAAGGCGTAGAGACGCCTTACGCTCAGCAGCCGGCAGCGGCAGCAAAGTCCCTCCTGCAACGGCGCTCTCGGCCCCCCTGCGGCGTGTTTGGCCCAATCTTATTTATCTTTTGTCTTTTTATCGCTCGCCCTGTAAAAGGGCGCAAGGGGGAACCTGCGGAACAGGACGCCGAAGGTGTGCGTGGTGGGGGAGGTCGGCCTCGCCAAAATCGCCTGGGTGTTGCTCCCAGCCGGCTCGTCGTAGAGGCCACGGATCCCACTCCAAGTCAACTGTAGTTTTCCGTACTAATTTACTAATTTTACTAATTTGGTATTTTTATAGAATATCCCTTCCCGCACTACCCCCCGATGCTCTGGAAAGAAAAGACCAAGGTCGCTCACAAAAGAAGAACTACAACAAACTCAAGTTCGCACTGCCTGGGACCAAGTGGCCTGCCTGTACGCGCCTCCTATCCTTCCTTGAAGGCAAGGCCGGTTCAGTGCGTGGTGTAGTGGTGGTATGGCAGTACGCCGGGAAGATGTCATGCTCTACGAAGATATGAAGACGATGGAGGATGGAGAAGCGGTGGTGGAGAGCGTGGGCTATCTTTCCTTCGATCCCCCCGAGCAGCCCGCACCCGAGGATCGCCCCGTTGGGGCCTACTACATCTCCAACAGCCGCATTGGGGAGATTCGGCCCCGGCCCGATACGGGGAGCGACGATGACAACACAGCCGCCAGTTCGAGCAGCGATGAAGATGACGACACCGACTGGTCCGACTCGGACGACGAGGCTCACCAGCCGCAGCGTCCGGCCGAGGGTATTGGACCTGTACAAGACAGCATCTGGAACGCGAGGTAAAGACCACGCCCGCCCCCTTGATTTTTTTTGACCTTAAAAAAATTACTATTTATCCTTATCCATGCGCGTTTCAATCTGGCTTCGGGCAGACAGGTCGTTGCTCCTCCTCATCGCTATGCGACCTTTTTCGTGTGGCTCTCTATTTATTTTATCGTTTTGCCTCTTAGATTCCAGCAGTTGGTGCGACTCCCGGACACGGAAAGCAAGTACCAGCAGCTGGCCTACCTGGCCCACGACTTTCAGCATGCCGCTGAAGTGTACGGCCGCATCATCATCAGCGAGCGGTTTGTGCCGGTCGAGTTCAAAACCATCAAGCCCCTGGACATTGGTGCGCCGCCTACACGACACAGACACCACGACACGCACGACACACCAGACACATACCAGACACACCGCACGCACGCACGCACGCACGCACGCACACACTGCTGGACCTGGCCTGCAAGTGAGAGTGATCGCAAGGTCGGGCATGGTGAGTGACCCCTCGTTTTTGCACCGCCCAGGTGGCATTGCGGGAGGGGAGAAGTTTATCGTCCAGAGCATCCTCTTCAAGTATGCCCTCGACACAGATGTGATGCCGGGGCTTTGGATGTACGGCGGCGACTTCCCGGATGACGCATCCGCCATGAAGGCAGCAGGTGCGATGAACATCGAGCCTCCTTCAGGACATTCTCGCGCGGTCGTGGGTCGTGGCTAATGCCTTTATATCGCGCCCGACTCAGGGCACGAGCTTCGCTCGCTGGCGCGGCTGGAGGATTCGGGCGCGATAGAGGAGGGCATATTCCTTCCGCTGGGTACGTCGCGCAGCGCCATGAGTGGCGGAACGACGAAAGAGGGCATGTGCAACACTCACAACTCAGCCGGCGTTGCCAAACGTGTACAGAAACGTTGGTGGACTATCGGGGATTCCGTCTTTTGGCGGTCTCCGTGCTGCCCGTGTCTCGCAAGACCATTTGCTACGGCTCTCATGACGCTGGCCTCACCGTGCACTCGGACTACCCCGCCTTTAACAGAAAGCTCAAGGGTACTTACGCCTCCCCCCTGCTCCCGCTCCCGCGTTTCGTTCCGTCTCACTCACCGGAGCGCCTTCTTCCGCCTCCCCGCACAGCGATCTTCACCCGCCTTAATCTCAAGGGCCATCGGGTCAAAAAGAAGATACTCTACGGACCCGGAGGTACGCGCCTCTCCGGTGAAAACGAGAGAGTTCCTCCCCCCCCGGCCAACCGACCAATCCCTCCCTCCAACAGACATCGAGGGTCATTGGGGAGCTGACGGGAAGCTGTACCTACTGGACTTCTCGCGCCTCTACCCGCCTGAGAGCATCCAGCAGACACAAGCGCTCTTCCCCACCAACCCCATGGCCAGCCGCGCCCTGTTCTACAAGATGCTGCGCCCTGGTACACACACACCACCACCACCACCGTTCGTTGTCCGCGCATTCAATGGTTTTTATTTCTCCCGTCCGTACCCAATCGTCCATTTCCCAGAGCTGGTGTCGTCCTACCAGAAGCCGCTCTGCAGCGATGCCTTCTCACTTTGGCTGAAGGGGGACCCGCTGGTATCCGCCCCCCCCCAATCTGTCATACCTGGAGACTCACCTTTCGGGCGCTTGTTGCATGTGTGCACAGGCCAAGGAGCACAACGACGAGGTGCGGGCTGCGACCACGAGGCTCATCGAGGGGATCATCCCCGATCTGGCCCTCGAGATCGTGTTCCGGTGCCTCAAGCTGAAGGACGATGCGCTCAACGAGACGGAGACCGTGCAGGTCCTGCACACGCACCTGCAGCACATCCTGCACCGAATGCACACCTGTGGCGTGAACATGCGCTTCCTGGGCGCACTGCGCAGCCGATTCCTCGTAACGGCCAAGCAGTACGACCTCCACCTCATGGGCCACATCGACACCGTCTACTCGTCCCTCATGTTCACCGAGGTACGAACCGCCGCGCGGCCCTCCCCCCCCTCACACTCGAACGTTTTGGCCTCATCGCGTGCTTTGGGCGGGGGGTACCATCAGATGGCCGCGCGGGTGGCCAAGAACATGATCCGCGCCCTCCTCCGCGAAAAGATGAAGCAGCTTAAGGTGCCCTCCAGCGAACCCTACCGGTACACAACACACACACACCCCTCTCGGCTCCCCACGCTCGCTGTGTGTGACGCCCGTGGAGGCACGTGAAAGCAGAGACACGCACAACAGTACATTACGTCTATGTTGTGCCTACACCGACACTCACACACAACCACCACCACCGTCGCACACAGGCAACTGGTGTTGAATCTGTTCAACCTCTTCAGCGGCCAAGCGGCCGCCTCCACCCGATTTTGGACCTCTGTCGTCCCGCCCACCCTCGACCCCACATCTGCCCCCGTCAAGTCCGATGGCGAGGGTATGCCTGCGCACAGCTCCTCCGCTGCGTCCGCCGCTCACTCCAACGCTCTCTCTCTCTCTCTCTTCTCACTTGCCCTGCCTCTCGCAGCCGGGCAGCAGCCCAACTCGGCCGAGGGGCGGAATGTGGAGTACTACATCTACCACCAGTGCCTGGGCCTCAAGAACGAGCCGTCCCCGGCCACGACCTCCCTGCCTGTCGGCAGTCCCCACACCAACATGCTCGACCCCAAGAGCCACAGCAAGGGCGTGATCTTCACCCAGTGGCTGAGCTCCGAGGCACTCGGTACGCGAGGCCCATCTCTCGCTCCTCCTTTGCGTGCAAGGCGCGTGTGCTCAGGGCGATCGATTTCCTGATGCACTTGTGCTGGTATTACATATATATCCATATATCCATATACATATGCGCATACAAGATGTCACCAAAAACGGCCAGGCTGCCGTTCCCAAGGAACTGAACAGTATCTTGGACGATCCCCTGCCAATGAAGTGCTCCATTCGAGCCAAGTTCGGGCTCAAGGCGCTCTCCCCGGACGAATGGGAATCCAACAATCGCAACAAGCCCATCCTCTACCAAGGTGTGTGTGTGTGAGTGTGTGCGGTTGTGTGTGTGTGTGTGTGTGTGCGTGTGTGTGGCCACCAGCGTCCCCAATGGAAAGCGCACGTGACGAATCGTTGCTTTTTCTTGGCAGGTCTGTTCTTCAAGCGCGTGTGCGACATGATGGGCATCGTGATGGCCAACCAGCCGGCCATCTTCGAGGAGTTGAATGCCCACAGCCGCGCCGGTCAACCCAACAAATTCGAGTTCCTTGGTACGGCTTGTTTCTGTCATTGTTGTTTTGCTGCTGCTGCTGTGCGTTTAGTTTGATGTGAGTGCTTATGCATGCGCGGCGGGCAACTCCACAGACCCGCACCTGCTGGATTTGGCGGTGCACGTCAAGCACATGCACCTGGTGGCCTCGTGCGAAGGGATGACCCTGTGGCTGAAAGCGGCGCAGCACATCGAAGAGAAGATCTTTCTCACCGACGAGGAGGTCAAGAAGTGCGAGCTGCTCCTCATCTTCGCCCGCGAGAAGTTTGAGTTTGCCCTCCGCAGCATCACCGGTAACGGATTACATCTCCATTCGATGAGAGTGCTCCGCTGTCTGTAACGCTCCTTCTGAGGCCATTGTGTGCGCTAACGATACGCACGACACGCAACACGACACACACAGACTCGGTGCAAACGCTGGCGCACTTGGCCAAGGTGGAGAACTTCTTGGCGGTCTACTGGAAGAATCTCAACCACAGCCAGCAGTTCTCCGACATCAACGTCAACATGAGCGTCGACGCGGGGCAGATGCGCCGGTCGTGGTTCGAGCTGTCGACGCGGCACTACGAGCAGGCCCTCAACATCCTCCAGAAGAAGCAGCAGACGATGAACTTCAAGCAGCTGCGGTCCAAGCAGCAGGAGCAGGTGCGCAGCATGCTCTTCAAGGTCATGTGCGAGATGTCCAACGCCCACTGCGAGTGGTCGATCGCCCTCCACTCCGACCTCGTCACCACCACGCCCCCGCCCAACGAGCGCAAGGTACCACCCCTCGTCATGCATCGTCATGCGCCAACCTGGTGTTTCCTGATGCAGCTCACTCGTGTCACGACACGTGGTGCCAATGGCACGAGTAGAAAAGCTGGGAGCGCGCATGGGACCTCATCCAGGAGGTGCTCATCCGATCGCCGCAGAAGCTGTGGCACCAGTTCGAGAGCGACGTCATGCAGCTGCTGGAGGGCCACCTGTCGGTGCTCTACCACGTCCGCAAGAACTGCCACCTGTTCAACTACGTCAAGGCGGGGCGCGTGGGCATCGTGATCTCCCACATCATCCGCATCAACAGCCTACGCATCGTCGAGGAGCGCATGCAGCGGGGCAAGTACACCACCGGCGGCGGCAACGGCGGCAGCCAGGGCCGCTTGCCGTCTGCCGACGAGGGCAAGGCCCGAGACAGGCGCGCGCACAGGACCCTGCGGGTGCGAGCAGCAGCTGCCGCCGCCACCCAGTCCGTGTCGCCGCCTACCGCGCCCGTCACGATCGTGGTGGAGCAGGCAGCGCCGACCCCAGTGCCACGACAGCCCGCCGAGGAGGTGCAGATCCGCACCGAAGTCAACTCGCTCTTCGGGTACGACACCGACCCGGCTGGCGATGCCCCGCTGCCGACCGAGAGCGGTCCCGCGGGCAGCGCCACCACCACCACGACGACGACGACGACGACGACCGGCAGCGGCGGCAGCCACCACCTCGCCGACGAGACCGAGGAGAACGCGGGCAAGCGGAAGGGGAGCAAGTCCAAAAAGGTCAAGGAGCTCAAGGACAGCAAGGACAAGGAGAAGAAGAAGAAAAAGAAGAAGTCCTCCAAGGGCGACAAGAAGGCCAAGGCCAAGGCCGAGGAAGGCCCTGCTGCTGCCGACGCCGCGGCTTGCGACAACGCCCACAACTACCCGACGCTCTACTCGCCCGGCGCGGGCCGGTCGTCGCCACCTCCGCCGTATCCCCTCAGCAGCAGCGGCGGCGGCAGCGGCGGTTCTCGAGCAGCCTCGAGTGCGCCTCGTCCGGAGGCGGCAGCGGCGAGTCATCAGCTGCGGAGAGCGCAGAAGGGAAGGAGGGCGGCGGCGGCAGCAGCAGCAGAGGCATCAAGAAGGGGCGGTCGTCGCCCCTGATCACCTCCAAGGAGATCAAGGAGGGCCGCGCCCGCAAGAAGGCCGAGATCTTCCGCCCCTTCACCCGCAGCTCCTCCCGCTCCAAGCCCGAGGAGCCCGACATCACCATCCTGCACCAGCCGGTGGCCGACGCCGCCGCCGCCGCCGCCATGCTGGAATCGCAGGAGGAGGAGACCGGCCGGCCCGCCACGTCGCCGCCCGCCGAGCAGAGAGAGGGCGCGCCCAGCGGCGAGGGGGGCGCCGACGACGCCGATCCGGGGGAGCTCAAGCGGACGCGCAAGCCCGCGCTGCCCTTCCACCGAAAGGCCTCCCTCGTCACCCCCGCCGCCCGTCCGCGCGAGCTGGACAACAACAGCGAGTCCGGCTCCGTCAGGGCCGACCCGGACGACGCCGGCGGCGCAGGTGGTGGTGGTGGCGACGCGGCGCAGGTCAGCGGGGCCATGAACTTCCGCCGGCGGCCGTCGGACATGTCGGTGCTGAGGTCCGGCCGGCCGCAGGCAGAGCTGCCGCCCCCGCTGGAGCGGAGCGACGATGGGTCCCTGTTCGCCCTCAAGTTCGCCCACCAGTCCCTGTTCGCCTCGGCCCGCTCCTACCCGGCGTTGGCGGCGCCCCCGGCCATGACGCTCGACGCCATGAAGGCCGAGGAGCGCAAGCGCGGCACCGTCGCCTACTGGCTGGGCAAGGAGACCTTCCTCGTGGCCCCCGGCACCACCAAGTACCTCTGCGCCGCCCTCGACGGGTCCCTCTACTCCAGGTACCCACAACACCACCATTCACCCCAGCAAGCTCTCTCTCTCTCTCTTGTGCCCCTTCCCCTCCCATGTCATCTAAACAACGCACACGTGCGTTATGTACGCCAGCGCGACGCTGTGTCGAGAGGCCGTGTGGATGGTGGACGCCTACCAGGGCCGCAAGGCCGAACCCTCCACGCCCGGGTACGTCCCAGCTACTCGCCCGCCTCATGCGATGAGTCGCTCACGTCCACGGTGGAGCGATGTACTGACCAACGCCGATGCCACCACCGTCCACGTATGCACGCACGCACGTATATGGCCAGCAGGAGCGGAGGGGCTGGATCGGCGCAGATCATCCTGCGCTCCGTCTATGGCAAGCTTCTCAGCCTGGTCGACCAGAAGGGGGCCACGTCGGCCACCTCGTGCAGGTGCTGCCACCTTTGCCTTGTGTTGTCCAACATGCTGCTCCGGCATTCACCATCCCCCCCCCAATGTATGTGTGTGGCGTGTGTGTGTCGCCAGGCTGTCAGACGCGGCCAAGTGGGAGTTCGAGGAAGTACCGGCGGCACCCGACAGCTTCTACCTCAAGTCGCTCCTTAACAACAAGTGGTGAGTGCCCCCTCCGCTTTCAAAAGATCTGCGTCTGAGGCCGGAAACGTTGTCTAACGCGTCTGTGGTCCCTATGTCGTGTGCTGCTGGCGCAACGTCGTCATCGTCGTCATCAGGCTCCACGTGCACAGCAAAAAGGTGGTGGCCGGAGCAGCGCAGCCCACCAAGGCCGAGTGGGGCCTTAAACTGGCCAACGCCAACCGGTACGCCACACGACGACACCAGAGAACCCTTCGCATTGGCCCCTGACTGACGCCAACGTTGTGTGTGTGTGTGTGTGTGTGTGTGTCGTGTCTCACTCTGGCAGAGTGTACATACGAGGTGCCAAGCACGGAAGTACCTGCGTGCCATACCCCGGGAGAACGACACCACCCTCGACAAGAAGGCCTCCTCCGGTAGGTGTCCTGTGGCTTCCATAAATCACATCACAGCACAGCACATCATGGCATGCCTTCATGTGTGTGTATGTGTGTGGGTGTGTGTGTGCTCATTTCGATGATGCGGCGCTGGCTGGGTGGTTGGTTGGTTCGTTGGTTGAAGGCGGGGCGTCGCGGGAGGCGCGAGCGGTGGCCTTTACGGCGTCCTACGTGTACGACCCGTGGTGGATCGAGCGCCACCCGCAGGACACCCAGCGAGTGTGCTTGCGCGCCTTCGACGGCAGCTTCCTCGCCACCTGCGGCAAGTCCTCGTACGGCGCGCCCGCGGCCCCTCATTGCCATTTTGGCGGGAACTGACCGGCGTGCCGTGCGCCAATCCAACGCGCAGGTCGGGCGAGGACGAGGAGGTGCGGCTGGTGGAGGGGAGTCCCAGCTGGTGGTACGTGCGGTACCTGCGCGAGGAGGTGCTGGGCACCTTCGAGAGCGAGGATGACGAGCGGCCCAAGACGGTGCAGGTACACGTACTATATATACACAACAACGACCCACGACCAACGATCAACCCCTCATGCTTACCATGCGTGCGACAGGACACCCGGATCGGACTGACGATGGCGCTGTCGCCCTACCCGCTGGTGGACAAGCACGGCCGGGAGACGCCCGAGCGGCGCTTCCTCTGCACGGACTCGCGCGGCGAGGTCGTGGTGTCGATGGCCTGGCAGTCCACGCCCGCCGGCGCGCCACCACTCTCCCCGCAGCACCAGCAGCAGCAGCCGCACGGCGGGTCGGCGGTGGAGGGGAGCGACCACCGGTGGTGTCGGGAATGGGTGGTGCGGTGGTTCGAGCCCAGATGGGCCGCCGTGCTGGCCCTCCTCGAAGCCGAGCTGCTCGACATGCGCGCCAACATCTCGCGCGCCGCCCTCCTGCCCGCGCCGGCCCCGTCTCCCGACGCGCTCGCGTCCCACGGCTCGGGGATGTCATCTGCTTCGGCGTCGTCGTCGGCGCCGGGCTCGGGCTCGGGCTCGGGCTCGTCGGCGGGACAGCCGGGAGCTGCAGGCGTCGGAGCCACCAACGGACCCGTGCCCATGGTCGCGCAGCTGCAGACGCTCCTCCACGCCATGTGCGACAAGTCCCAGTACTCGGTCACCCTGTAAACAACACAACACCACATACAACACACACACACCTGAACACCACTAAAACATTGCTCGCGGTGAAGCCCTCTCGAGAGGGGGTGGTGGTGTATTTGCGTGTTTGCTGATGAGTGAGGCTGCTCAGAACGACTTCTTGACGACACCGAAGTAGATGAGGAGGATGACCACGATGACGGCCACGATGAGGAGGAAGATGCCGAGGATGCAGCACCACAGCTTGGTGTTCTTCCACCACAGCGATCGCTTCAGCTGGGCGCTCTTCGTCTGGAAGGCGTACGACCGCGTCTGAAGCCTGCGCGGGGACACAACAAACAACATCCACCGCGAATTGAGCAACGAGGTGATCCATTCATAGCGAGAGAGGTAGAGAGAGAGAGAGAGAGAGTTGGCGCACTTGTCGGTCTCCTCGACGAGGACCTCGATCTTGTCTCCACGCTCGAGCACTCTGTCGATGTTTTGGATCATGATGTCCTTCACCTGGTTGATCTCGTCCTTGACTCGCTTGACCTTGTCCGCGTCGGGCGACGTGTTGTAATAATTCTATGTCCGCACACCAACGCGTCAGAACACGACCTCGCGCTGCTGCTGCTGCTGCTGGTGGTGGTGGTGGTGGTGGTGGTGGTGGTGGTGGTGGTTGCCAGGCACGGACCCGTGTGTGTGTGTGTCGTGTGTGTCGTGTGTGTCGTACCATTTGCTCGCGGATGGTGCGGCTGAAGGCGTCGTCGAGGCCGTTCTCCCGCGCGTTTTGATAGGCGCGGCCGAACTGGGTGAGAAACTTGGTGCGCACGTCGTCCAGGAATAGGAAGGGCACCCGATGCCCCGCGTTGGCGTCCGCCATGCACCTGCCCTCCCCCCCGAAAGCCGCGGTGAGCTTCGAAGGTGGCGTTCCCACCCCACACACCACACCATCACCACATCACCTATCACGGCACCCCACGGCACAGAGAGAAGGAGCGAGAGGCCGTACATGAAGATGAGGCCGTTGTCGTCGACCATGTAGTGGAAGACCATGCTGGAGAGGCACAAGGCACACGACACGTTACAGGTGACAACACACACACGCACACACACACACACACACACGAGTAAAAAGGCGATGAGGAAGCTGCTATCTCTCTCTCTCTCGCAGAGGAATCCACGACCAGGCGCCACGTCGTGGTGATGGGTGGGGTGGGGTGGGGTGGGGTACTTCTTGGCGGCATAGCTCTTCTTGTGCGCGTGGAGGGGCACCTCCCGCAGCAGCTGGCGCGCAATGTCCAGGTAGTTGCCTGTGCACGACACGCACACGCACACGCACACGTACACGCGCTGTTAACAGCCGGAAGAGGGAAAACATTGAAAAAAAGAAAATAAAACAGCATTTGGTTGGCGGGGGGGACCAGTGTTGGGGGAGTACTCAGCCAGCACCGTGCGGCCGTACGCCACAAGTCCTGTTGGGACCCCACGACACCGGTGACGCAGAGGGAGAGGGGGGGGGCAGCGAGGTCAGCATAGAATCAATGGCCGCAGAGTCGGGAAACACGCGTTGTTGTTTTACGTGAACGTTGGGCAAGTTGGGGGGGAGAGGGTGTACCGTAGATGAGAGGCATGACGCGAAAGCACGAGGAAGAGGAGGATGCGGAAGTAGCAGCGGAAAAGCTCCTCAAGTTATTTTTCGCTTTATATTTTGGATTATGATAATTAAGAAAATAAATAAGTGGGACGGCAAAATAAAAGAGAAGAAAGATGGAGGCGCCACGCGTTGGTGGCGGTACGCGCTACTGCGGGGGTTGCGGGGCGCCGTGTCCCGCCCACAGCAAGTACTGCACGTCGTGCGGCACGCCTCTATCGGCCTCCGGTGGTCCCACACTGGGTCCACCGACGCCCACCTCGTCGTCGCCGTCGCCGGGTGGGGGCTGGTGGGCGGAGGTGCGCCTGCGCAGCGCCGGCAAGTCGACTCCTGCTTCGACCGCCGGCGGCCCCGACGCCCGGAGCGCCACCACCACCACCAGCAGCACCAGCAGCGCCGCGAGTTGCAGGTTTACACCCCCTCCCCCACTCTTCCGTCGCCGTCTTCTCTCTTTACCACCGCCTCACTTGTTTGGGGGGGGGCGTTCTTGTGGTTTGTGGCGTCGTGGTCCATAGCAACGGCGCCACGCACTCGCCGGCCTCGCGCCCGCCGGTAGGCCCCCGCGGGCGGCAGCTCAGCCCGGTGGCCTCCTCCTACGCCTCGTCCTCGTCCTCGTCGTCGGGCCGTGGCCACGTGGGACCACCCTCGTCGTCCTCCTCCCCGTCGGGGGCACTCCTGTGGCCGTACCTCGCACACCCTACGCGGCTCTTCTTCTTCTTCTTCTTTTTGGCACTTATCATCGCACACGCCGCACACACACCCACCAGACCAAACGGAGCCGGTCGGCAGCTGAAGCGTACGCATTCGGCGGGCAACGTGCGGGAAGAGGCGACGGCATCATCGTCGACATCGTTCGTTTCCTCCTCGTCGTCGTCGGTATCCACGACGACCACCGCCGCCGCCGCCAAGCCCGCGAGCGGGGGCGGTGGGAAGGTGGCCTCGAGGTGGCCTCCGGTGGCCACCTACGCGACCATGCGCCCCGCGCGGGCTGCCCCCACCGCGACCGTGTCGGCGCGTGCCCCGTCCGGATGGACTCGCAACCGCAACCCCTCCCTCGTCTCTTCCGCGTCATCGTCGTCGTCATCATCATCGTCGCCTTCTTCCTCCTCCTCTTTCTCTTCGCCCTCTGCGTCGTACCACGCGCCACCACGACCTCCGCGAACTGCGCCACCGACGTCACCCTCCCCGCCGCCAGCATCGGCATCGGCATCGGCAGCGACCGCACGAACAACCTCGCCCTCCACCGCCGTACGTTGGAGTGTTGTGTGTGCCGTGTATCTCGTGTGTGTCGTGTGTGTCGTGTTGCGTGTGTCGTGTGTCGTGTCGTCGTCCCCAATCAGGGTGATCATGGTAACGGCTCTGGTAACGCTCATTGCCAACAGGCGCGTGCGGAGGAGCGGCAGGGGCAGGGTCCGGAGCAGGCCAAGCCGCAGGAGGCCGGGCAGGCGCTGTGGGCCAAGGTGCAGGTGGGGCTCCGTGCGGCCATCGACGACGCGCGGCGGCGCGGCGGGTCGAGCGGATCGGCCGATCTGTTCACGCCCGCGCAGGCCCAGGAAAAGCACACGCTCGCCCTCCGCTCCCACAACGACTCCTTTTCCTTCCGCCAATACGGTACACGACGCCGTCCTTTTTCGTTCTGATCGCTCGCCGCGCGTATTGCATCTCAATCGCACCGCAGCGCCCAAAATATTTAGGTCGTTGCGCAAGCACCTCGGCATTTCGGACGACGCGTACCTGGTGTGTGCCGCCCCCTCTCCAAGCCACACACACGATTGGGGGGGCGGCTAGTGTGGTTTCGTGTCGACCGACTGTTCGCGAATGCGTGTGTGGGTGAAGAGCGCGCTGTGCGGGGAGGTCCAGGAGCTGGGCTTCCAGGGCAAGAGCGGGAGCTTCCTGTTCGTGAGCGGCGACGAGCGGCTGGTGATCAAGACCATCAGCGTCACCGAGTCCAAGTACCTCCGCAAGATCCTCCTCGCCTACTACGAGCACACCACCCACCCCACGTACCTCTCTCCGCCGCATCGTTCGGCCTTTGGCTCAGATGAGAGCCCCCCCCCACGTGGTGGTGCCCTCATCCAACGTGTTGTGTGCGTGGCGCGCCTCGCAGGGAGAAGTCGTTCCTCGTGCGCTTCGTGGGCATGTACAGAATCCAGGCCACCGAGCAGGTGCTCCCTCCCTCGCTCTCGCTCTCGCTCTCCACCCTGTGCATATGGGAGCTGGGCAGGATGCGTGTTTTCTCAGCACGTGTGCTGCCTGATGCGGGATGCGCACACAACGTATAGGCGACGATATTGGTGATGACGAACGCATTTGGTACCGCGGAGCGCATCGACGAGCGATACGACCTCAAGGGCTCCACTCTCGGACGTAAAACGCTGGTATGCCCGATCCTTCACGCCAACACACGCAACACGCAACACGCAACACCCACGCACGCACGCAACACGCACGCACTCACGCACGCAGCATGACACATTTCTAAATATCGCTGTTTGCAGTTTTCGTGTAAATTGGACACGCCGGTGGCGAGCCTGATGCTCAAGGACCTCGATCTGGTGGATCGCTTCCGCATCAAGCTCGGCCGGGAGCGCAAGAAACGCTTCCTGCACATCCTCACCTACGACGCCGAGGTATTCAACACCCTCTCTGCACGCACGCGCAAGTGTGTTTGTATACATTGGCGGGCGTGTGTCGTCTCACGCGTCATGCGTGCGTGTAGTTCCTGGAGAGGTTCGGTATCATCGACTACTCGCTGCTGCTCGGGGTGCACTTCGTGGACGTCTCGGAGGAGCACAAGCGACCCCGCGGACCGCTCGGCGCGGACGTGCTCCACGCCGAAGACGGCGGCATCTGGTCCTCCAACGACCAACGCGAGGCCCTCCGCGCCATCTACTACTGGTGCCCCCTCCCTCCCGCATCAAATGCCACTCCCATCATGTCCATAATCCGTTGTTGTTGTTGTTGTTGTTGTTGTTGTTGTTGTTGTTGTTGTTGTTGTTGTTGTTGTTGTTGTTGTTGTTGTTGTTTGTTGTTTGTTGTTGTTTGTTGTTGTTGTTGTTAACACCAATCGACCCATATACACACACAGCGCGGTGATCGACATACTGCAGCCGTACAACATGCGCAAGCAGCTGGAGCACAACCTCAAGTCGGTGGTGCACGACAAGCAGGCCATCTCCGTGTGTCCGCCCACCCTCTACGTCTCTCGATTTCTCCACTTCATCGGCACCTACATCGAGTGACGGTGCTCTGTGGTCGAATTTACACACAGTTGGTTTCATTTGGGTTTGAAGTCGACTTGAAGAATTCTTCAACAAAGGGTTGTTGGTGCGCCCTTGGGGACGACGGCGGCGCTGGGGAAGATGCCCATGGGGCGCGAGGCCTCGTCGGCGGAGGCCGGGTGGATGAGCACCCCGATCCACCACTGGTCGTCGGGTCCGCCGTCGACGTGCTGCACCTCGTAGCCCGGCTGCAGGCCCAGCTCGCCCTCCTCCGCCGCCACGTACTCCCGCACCGCCACGAACCGCCCGCCCTCCTCCGCCGCCGACGCCTTTGGGGCCTCTGCCGCCTCCACCGCTGCCGCAGGTGCACCCGCCTCGTCACTGTGCGGCCGGCCATCGTCGACGCTTGCCGTCGTGGAGTCGGCAGCCTCCTCTGTCGTTGACTTTACTTCCGCCACCTTCTCCTCCGCTTCTTGTGTGGCTTTGGTCGTAGGCGCAATTACCTTCGGCTCCACTTCGCTGGATTTGTGTTGTGCAGCGCGGGTCGCCTCGCCATCGCCGGCGTCGCCACTCTCGCCCTCCTTCGCCTCTCCGTTGTCCACGTCGGCGGCCGCTGCGTGTGTTGCCGGCGGTGGAGCCGGCCGGGCGAACACGCCGCTGAACTCAAGGACGCCGTCGTGGGCGTCATCGTCGTCGGCGTCGAGGTGGCCGAGGGTGCGGAGGGAGCGGTCGAGCTTGCGCCGCTCGTCGTCCATCTGCCGGCGGATGCGCTGCAGCCGCTCGTGCTCCCGCGCCTCGTCCTCGCGCTGCGCCTCCTCGCGCTGCCGTCGCTCCTCTGCCTCGGCCGCCAGCCGCTGCTGCTCGGCCCGGACCTGCTCGGCCTGGGCCTCCATCGTGCGCGCGTGCTCGGCCTGGCGCAGCTCCAGCAGCTCCCTCCGGGCCTCCTCGATCTTCTTCCACTCCTCTTCGAGCCGGCGCTTCATCTTCTGCTCGCGCACCTCGCGCTTGCGGTCTTCGAGCAGCCGCCGCTCCTCCTGCATGCGCACGAACTCCTGCTCGATCTGCACGCGGCCCTGCTCGCGCTGCTCGGCCAGCTCCAGCTGTCGCGCCAGCTCGCGCTTGGACTCGTCGAGCAGCGCGCGCTCCTCGTCGAGCTGCTGCTGCGCGCGGCGGGCCTGGGCCTGGGCCTCGCGCCGCGACTCCTCCAACGCCTGCTTCTCGCGCTGGAGGGCCTCGGCCTCGTCGCGCTGCCGCCGCGCGAGCAGCGCCTGCGCCGCCTCCAGCTCGCGCCACTCGGCCGCCAGCCGCTCGCTCTGCTTGCCCAGCTCCCACCGCTCCTGCTCCTCCAGCCGCCGCTCCATCTCCCCGCCTTGGCCCGACGACGACGGTGACGCCGACGACGACGATGACAGTGATGCCGATGCCGACGACGACGACGATGACGGTGAAGGTGCCGGTGCGGGCGTCGCCGAGGCGCCGGCGGGCGTTTCACCGGTGGATGGCGGGGTCTTGGGAAGGGGCTTGGCGGCGGCCGAGTTGCGCTGCTTGAGCATGCTCAGCCGCTCTGGTCCATCACCACCACCACCGCGCATGGACACGAAAGAGGCTGGTGTTAGGATGACGTGGCGTGACGTGTCGCGGGCATGGGTGCGTTATATGTACCTTGCATGTTGGTCTTGGGCGGCGGAACAGGGCTGCCTACGGAAGTCGGCGTGATGCTCGCCGAAGGCGTGGGCGCGGATGACGTGGCGGACGTCGAAGTCTCGGATTGCTGGGCCACAGGAGTGGTGGCCGGGGTGACCGGGTTCGGTTGATCGTCGCGCGGTGGTTGGTCGGTTTCGGGCGAAGCGGCGGCGGCCACGGTGGTGGGTGAGGGAGGGGCGGGCGACGAGGACTCCTCCACCGTCGGAGAAGTCGGCGTGGACGTGGGGGCGGGGGCGGGGGCGGGGGTGGCGGGCAGGCTCTTCTGGGGAGAGGCCATGGACGCGCGGGTGCTGTTGCTGCCGGTCTTGACGCGCACCGGGATGATGGAGGGAGCCGACTGTGGGTCGTCGTCCTCCTGCCACTCGGCATAGGCCACGTTCAGCGTGTGGTACAGCCCATATTGCGCCACTCCCAACTGGAACAACAACAACAACAACAACACGCACGACACGCACGACACAATCAGTAAATGGCATAGAAGAAGGCAGGCTCAATCATGTCGTGATTGGGTGGATGGAGGCGAGTACGGCTTGGAGGTACTCCTGGAGGGCGGGCTTGACTTGAGTGCTGAGCTCATTCACGGAGAGGATGATCTTCTTGTTGGTCCGCTTGAAGCCCTCGTGGGCGGCCTGCCACGCCGACTCGAGCTGGTTGTTTCCCGATGAAGCCACGTCAGCCACGCGAGCCAGCCACGTTAGGAAGCTCCCGAATTAATTAGGTGTGGTGTGGTGTACTCTGTTGAGCTTGGCAATGGTGGCCGGGTCGTCCGTCATGCGCTTGTGCTCCGCCTGTGTCGTAGACGGCCGGAAATGGGACAAAAACTGAGCTGAGAGCGGGTATTCCAAGAATGCCGACGATGACCAGATGTGTGACACGCGCGTGTGGGTTGATGGCGGGTGGGTGGCGGGGCACCTTTTGGTGGGCGTGGTTCCAGCTCTTCTTCTCGCGCACGAACTCGGAGTAGAGGCGCTCACGCGCCTCGATGTCGCGCTTGATCTCCTCCAGCTTGAGGATCCACTCCTCGAGGTCGGCCTGCACCCGCTCCTCCTCCAGCACCTCCTGCACCGGGTTTCGTAGCGCGTGCATGTGCGTGAGCTTTGTTTGTCAGGAGAGTGTGTGGTGTGTGTGTGCGCGCGCCGGGCGCTGAGAATCTCCGCGCGTGCGGGTGGGGGAGCACGAGTACCTCGAAGCGCATGGTGGCCACGTTGAGCTTGACCACTGACGACGAGAAGCGGCGCACCACCCGCGACTCGGCCTCCTGGTCGTCGAAGTAGTCCCTGTGTGGCGCCACACACAAATCACGTCCCATGTACCACCATCGCGTTCAATTGAAGTTGTCGGTAAGATTCACATGTACACCGGCACACTCATCGCAGCGTGTGGGAGGCAGCACACCGTACCTCACGGTACTCTCCAGCCTATTCAAGGGACGTGCCACATCTGGAGGTTGGTGAATGGTGAGCGTGAGAGTAAAATAAAGAGAAAAGAAAAAGCGACCGGTCTTCGTTTTTTTCGTTCGCGTGAAGTGAAAGAAAGAAGCGGTGCAGAGGGCAACGGTCGTACCTATGATGCCGGTGGTGGCCTGCAGGTAGGCCTGATAGACGGTGGTGAAGAACTCGTCCAACTCGCCCCACTTCCGTTTGGCGTCGTCGAAGCCCGGGTCGTGGGGCACCTCCGACGCGCCCTCGCCCGCGCCGTCGCCTCCGCCCCAGCCGGAGAACAGCCGGGCACGGTGCGACCCTCCGCTTCCTCCTGCGCTGCTGCCGCTCCCCTGCTGTCGTGTGGCCGTTAATGAACAACTTAACAAACTTAACAAACTTAATCACAATATTATGATTTCCCGCAATTAATTGATTAATTAATTAATAGGAAATGGGAGGTACGAACTTGGGAGCGAGAGGACGAGGCGTAGCCCTTGAGGGAAGACAGGAGCCGGCTGCTCATCGTTCTCCCTCAGGCCTGACTTGATGTGGTGCGGCCTGCTTTTTGTGGTTAACAGTTTAATGTGGCCGCACACCGTGGCGATCTCACCGAGGAGCTGACATTTCTGTCGACACAGCGCCTCTTGCCCCAACTGTCCGTTTGGCCTGCTCTGCCGCCACTACACGAAAAGGAAAAAAAAGGCACTTGGACAACGAGTGTGGTCCAACGACCACTTCTAGCTACCCATCAACATGGAGAGGCTGAGGGAGATCCAGGCCTCCGTTAGGGGCCTTCAGGTTGGAATCCTCGACCTCATCGCCCTCACCTGATTTATTGGCTTAGATTATTGGGGGGGGAGGCGTGGATAACGCATAATATGGTTAAGGCAGCATATTGATCGTGTTTTGTGGTGGTGGGGGCCACAGGTCGAATTGACAGCGAATCAAGGCCGACGGCTGGTCAAAGAGGGGCCAATCAAGAAGGTGTCCCATGGCAAGGCACAGATGCGCCACTTCTTTCTCTTCTCCGACATGATACTCTATTGTCGCGCCACCCGAGGCCGGAAGAAGCTGGAATACAAGGGACACTTCTCCCTCATGGAAACCCTCCTCGCACCTCACCCCGACAACCGACGTACGTCGGCATCCCCTCGTTCTGTTGCTGCTGTCACCTTTCTTCTAGGCTTACACACGACACACACACGACACACACGACACATGACACGCACGCACTGGCACAACACGTGCACATGTCCAGTGTACAAATATGCGTTTGAGGTGGTGCGCATGGATGGAAAGAAGAGGCGCTACATATTGGCATTCCCGAACCAGCAGGAGATGGAGGAGTGGCAGACCCTGATCGAGCAGCTCATCTCGCGGCAGCAGACCAAGGCCAAGCGCCAGTCCGACGCCAAGGCGGCCGAGCAGCACGAGGTATTCACCCCTTCCACCAAAAACAAGAAACAAAAACAAAAACAAATGCGCGCAGCTCGTAACACAACACCTCCACATCATCACGCCACTCGCAATGCAAGTTTGTAGTTTCCTCATTCTTGTGGTGTGACGCGATGGTTGTTTGTTTGTGGGTCCGCACAGTTGGAGTCAAAGCAGGCGACCCACCGACGACGAGCGGCCCAGCAGAAGGCCTTGAAGCAGGGCTGCGACGACATCTACGACGCCGCCTACCAAGGTGTGTGCCGCCGTGACATTCTTCCGGTGCAGTGCCCAGGCCTAACGTTAAGGTGGTGGTGGTGGAATGCAGGGAATGTGAAGATGCTGGAGGCGTTCATCAAGTGCGGGGCGCCGGTGAACGGCTACGACGAGGAGGGCTGGACGCCGCTCATGAACGCCGCCTTGCACGGCCACCTCGAGTGCGTGAACCTCCTGCTCAGCGCGGGGGCCGACCCGCACCTGGTGGACGACCAAAAGCAGACCTGCCTCCACAAGGCCGCCTACCACTCCGGCAAGTCGGCCATCGTCGAGGCCCTGCTCGCCAAAGGTTCATCATCATCATCCTCATCGTCATCATCATCTTGCGATAATGGAGCGCACTGCCTAACCCATTGCTTGCGCCCAACTCGCCCCAGGCTGCCCGGTGAATGCGCAGGAGTCGTTCGGCTGCACGGCCCTGCACTACGCCGCCACCTACTCCGATGTCGAAACCTGCCGAGCGATCATTGCCCACAGCGGCAACGTCAATCTTGCCGACAACACCGGTGCGGCACACGTTTTGCGTGTTGTTGCGCGCGAACGCTCTAATTCGGATATAACAGAATATCATAATTATTGATTACTATTTATGTTGTTTTGATCACACTTACCCCTTGCTATTCTCATGCAGGAGGTACTCCGTTGCACTATGCCTGTCGTGTGAGCAACGGATACGTGGCCGAGCTTTTGTTGAAGGAGGGCGCCGACCTCAGGGCTAAGGACAGCGATCGGTTGACTCCCATCTATCAGGTTTGCTCTTTCTCTCTTGCATCGGTTGTTCTGTGTGTGTGTGTGTGTGTGTGTGTGTGTGTGTGTGTGTGTGTGTTGTATGAGCGTCTACCAACAACCACTCACCGTCATCGTCCTCGTCGTTACTTTGGTCAGGCTTCGTTCTTTGGCCACGACCAAATAGTGAAGCTGCTCCTCCAATACTACACCCCGGAACAGAACGTGAAAAAGAAGAAAAAAGCGGTCAAAGAGCCCACCGCATGCGACAACATCCAGGTGCGTCTGCCCATTGCATTTGAATATACATTTCCATCTCGGATGTATATTTCTATTTTACTATACTATACTAACCCGTGGTCTTCGCTCATGATAGGGAGTGTCGCCGTTACATTGCGCAGCGCTGATGGGCCACTTGCCGGTGGTCGAAGTGCTCTACGACTACGAGCCCGTGGTGGACGTGCGGGACAAACAAAACGCAACCCCCCTCCACAAGGCCTGCAAAAGGGATCAGTCCCACGTCGCCGAATTCTTATCCGCAAGGTGCGTTCTCGTTTGTGGTGTGTATGTGTGGCGTGTGTGTGTATGTGTGTGGCGCGTGTCGTTCTGAAGGTGAAATTTTTGTTTTGCTGCACTCCAGGGAGCCGACCTCAACGCCAAGATGACGGCCGGCGAGACCCCGCTTCTAGTGGCGTGCGCTGGCGGCGCGGTGCGGTGCGTGGAGCTCCTCCTGTCCAAGGGCTGCGACATGGACGCCGTGGACAGCCAAGGCCGCGGGCCGCTCCACCACGCCGTGGAGTCCGGCAGCTACGAGGCGGTCATGTGGGTCATGGAGGAGTGCCGCGACGTGTCTCCCCACGACGCCGCCGGCGTCACACCGCTCCACATCGCCATCGAACACGACTACATGGACATCGGTGCGCCTCCGCCTTGTGTGATATTATTTGGAATGTTAAGCTGATGTCTGATTATGATGTCGACACGGCCGTGATCGCCAATTGCCGCGTGTGCGTGTGTGCAGCCAAGCTGCTGATGGAGCAGGGTAACGCGTCGACGAGTGGTTGCGTGCACGTGGCGGCGCACTACGACCGAACGTGTTCCTGAACATGCTCCTCGACATGGGCGCCCCCATCAACGAGCTCAATAGAGAGGGAGAGACGCCCCTCCAGGTGGCCTACAAGATGGTACGCCGCGCTTCCTTCCCTTTACATTATCACATTCCAGTCAACGATATCGTTGAGCTAATGGCGCACACGCATGCCGCGCTCCACAGAGTAACGCGAAAGCGTCGAAGGCGTTGGTCCGGCGAGGCGCCGTGCTGCCCGAGACAGAGTCCGATGCCGAGGGCCAGATCCGGGACATGTTCCTCATCTCGGCCTTCGAGGAGATCCAGATCCCCATCAACAGCGTCTATGGCGCCCGCGTGTGGGACATCGTCGAGCGGTTCGCCAAGCACCGTACACGTCACCCTCCACCCCTCCCCAAACTAAGTGACCTTGCAACGCACCTCATCCACCCACTCCGCGCTCCACGTGGCCCAGTGTCGGGAGCGTTGAAGACCATGGACGACGAAGAGGAAGAAAACAGGAAGGACAACGTGCGTTTTATTTTTTGTTATGTGTGTGATGTGTGATTGGCGCGTCGGACCCACGTGAACTAATGTCTTGATCTTGCACGTGCCTGTAACATGCTCCATGGCAACATGTTGCTGTGCAGCGCGGGAAGGAGGTCGGCAGCCAGGCCCAGTGGGCCCGGAAGCTCGACAAGCTCGAGGAGGACCTCTCCTTCCTCTTCCCCGACTGGCAACAGGAGGAGGTCGAGCAGGCCTTCTTCTACCCCGGTACTCCTCCCCTCTCCACACCAGTCGCCCCCCCCCATGGGCGCTTTCGTTGCCAATGGTTGACACCACTTCCTGCGCGCAGAGGTCGAGGCCCAGAACACCGACGGCGCGGCCGGCACCTGCCACGCGTTATCTTCGAGTAGTATGTGCTTCTCTCATTGGTTTACTGCTATTCCAGCTGAGCTGTGGTGCGTGCTTGAGCTGACAGTCTGCACGCCCTTTCTTCTTCCGATTGGCAGCGCCGAGAGATGTGAGCGCAGCGGACGTTGACGTGACGGCCAAGATGCCGCTTTCGCCCAAGAGCAACAACTCGGCCGCAGGGGGACGAGGTGCGCACACGGCACCCCGCTCTCCTCTATTTTACATTATTGCTTGCATTCTTCGTGGTTACGCGCGTTACCGTTGCCGTGCAACAGCAAGGGCTGACCCTCTCGCAACTTCCCAGACCCCGCCCAGGGAGGCGAGGACTCCAGCAGCGCGCCGGCGGCGCCTCCTGCTCCGGCACCGCCACCGTCGCCCGGCCCAATGGAGGGACCCCCGAAGCCGCAGGGCCAAGACCGCAAAATGCTCAAGAGGCTGCTCTGGAGGTAAATCGATTTTGACCCGCCAATCAAACAGTCGCTTCGGACGCTCCCGCACTGGCGGAGCAGCGCTGACGTCACCCAATCCTCTTCTCCCTTCTCTATTTGGTGGGCCAATTCCCATTGACAGGAAGATCCCGGGAGCCAAGTTGGATACGGCGTTCTGGGGCGAGGTCAGCAAATCGGCGCAGATCAAGCTCGACGAGGCCCACATCGAGAAGCTCTTCCGCCGGTACTGCCAATTCCAGCAGATTCTTCTTTTTCTTCTTCTCTTCCTTTTCTTCTTCCTTTTTCTTTGCTCGGTGGGCGTGGCGCGCGTAGTGTTAGCCAACAGTGCCAATTGGCTGACCTGGGGTCCTGGATCACAGGGAGGCGCACAAGGGAAAGGACCAGGCCAAGAAGAACAAAGATGAGGGCGAGATCCTGCGCCTCCTCGACCCCAACCGCGCCCGTAACATCAGTACGCTCACCACACACACGCGACATCACACAGACACAGAACACAGACACACCACACACCACACACACCACACACACCACACACACCACACACACACACACACACACACACACAATACACACCGCTCAATGGTGCTCACGCGGCACAAACATGATGGTTGAAAACGTGCGTTGCGCAGTCATCGTGGCCAGCAGGCTGCAAGCGACGCCAGCGCAGGTGAAGCAGGCCGTGTGGAGCCTGGACATGAGTCTGCTGACCATGGACCGGGTGAACATCCTGCTCAAGACCATCCCCACCGACGCCGAGATGGAGCTCATCAGCCAGCACGCCCACGACCCCGTTCGCCTCGGACAAGCCGAACAGTTCTGCCTGGAGCTCATGGTACACACACACACGCACACACGCACACACACACGCACACACACACGAACGTTAGGGCACGACACGGTTAGGAGGGTGATGACTTGATGGTACGGCCGCGGTGACACACGTTCACAGAGTGTGCCGAGGCTGCGACAGCGGCTCCAGTGCGTACTGGTCCGGCTCGAGTTCACCGAGACTCTGCGAGAACTCCAGGTGGTACGTACCCCTACTATTCATCATTTTGTCATCATGTGCCACCTCTATGCGCTATGGTTGACGTTGTCCTGGTTCGGGTCCACCACCATCAACGCGCCACCCGCAGGACATCAACAGCGTGGGGACGGTGTGCCACCAAATGCTGACCAACAAGAAATTCAAGGCCGTCCTGGGGGTACGCGTGTACAATACGTGTACACGTGTATTGTGTTGGTTGGGCCGAAATACCAACGTGAATGGTCGCCGCGGCTAACCAAAACTGTGTTTCCCCTTCCCCCCGCCAATACACAATGAATGATTGGTCCCTAGTGCGTGCTGGCTGTGGGCAACTTCCTCAATGCCGGCAGCTTCGTGGGCGACGCCGAGGGCTTCACCGCCGATTCTCTGCTCAAGGTACATCGTCACCCAGAGAGCCATCACCGACACAACGCACAACTGAGAGCTCATTTGGCGGATTGCGACGAAACCACAACCGCGGCAGATCGTGGACGTGACGTCGACCAAGGGCAGCAAGCACAGCCTGATGGACTACATCACCAATCTGCTGCTCAAGACCAACCCCAGCGCAGTCACCTTCCCGCACGACCTCCGGCACGTCAAGGCCGCCGCGCAGGAGCGGGTCGCGGTCATCCCGACTACGCTGCAGACCCTGGCCCAGGGCCTGGCCATGATCGAGGAGGAGCTCGAGCAGGCCTGGGACCAGGAGCCGCTCCGGCGCGCGTTCCCGGGCTTCCTAGCCGAGGCCACGAAGGAGCTGGCCGCGCTCAAGGAGCCCGTGGCCCAGTACCAGGCCAACTACGCCTCGCTCCTCCGCATCTTCGGCGAGGACCCCAAGACGCCCATCAACGACTTCTTCCGGGGCTTACACAAGTTCATCTCCGCCTTCCAGGTCAGCTCAAACACTCACTCACTACCCCCTCGCTTCCCCCCCCCTTTGGTCGAACAGTTTTCGGTCGAACAGCGTGTTTACCGCACCTACTTTAATTTAACTCTTCTTTCTGTTACGGTTGGTTGGTTGGCGGGAGAGCAGAAGTGTCAGGAGGACATCGCTACGAAGCGACTGAGGCAGCAGCAGGCCCAGATCAACGACAGCCGCACGGGCATGGTGGCCGAACTCAAGGACAAGATCTCCGCCGGCCAACTGTCGGCGTCCACCGTCGTCAAGTCCATGCGCCGCCGCGCACCCACCACCTCCCTCCTCATCGCCTGATCGCCGATCCTCCCCCCTCATCTTTCCCCCTGTGTCCCCGGACGCTCCTTTCGTTTCATTTAGTTTCGTTTCTGTTGTTGAGTGTTTCATTTGTTTTGCAGCTTTACACGCAAAAATTCAGGCGAACTGGCGGGGTCCAGCGCCGCCTGGTCCCGGCGCCGGCTGCTGGGGGTGGTGCCACTGCGGCTGCGGCTGCAAGGGGCCTTGGAAGCCCTGCTGCCCGTGGCCCCCGAACTGCTGCTGCTGCTGCGGATGGTAGAGGCCGCCGCCGGCCTGCATCGTCGGTTGAAGCGGCTTGAACGGCTGCAGAGGCGCCTGCAGCTGCGGTTGCTGCTGCTGCGGCTGGTGGTGGTACTGCGGCTGCTGCGGGTAGAGGGGCTGCTGCTGCTGCTGGTGGAAGGGCGGCACCGACGGGAAGGACGAGGGCGGGTAGTAGGCGGGCGGCCCGGCCTGGCCCACGTATGGCTGCTGGTGCTGCTGGTGGTGGTGGTAGAGCAGGTTCTGCGGTGCCGCTGGGAACACGTAGCCGCCCGACGACGACGACGACGAAGAAACCGGAGACGACGACGATGATGTCACGGGGGCGGCCATGGTGAGGGGCATCACCCCGCCGCCGCCGGCATGGAAGGACGAGGAGGGGGAGCCGACCGCGGCGGGCGACGACGGGGAGGTGGGCTGGAGAGGCGGCAGGAAGCCGGCCATCGTCGAAGGTTGTTGCGTGGTGGGCGCGACGAGGGGGGCGGAGGATGACGCCGAGAACGGGGCGAGGACCGGGTGCAGCTCCTGGCCGGGCACCAGCCCGTCGAAGAGCAGCAGGTCCGCCGTTGTGGTCGACGCCGACCCGGCGCGATGGCGGGCCGGCACGGGCGCCGTCGGCATCGACGATGACGTCATCTGCGGCTGGTGCTGGTTCGGGTGGTGCTGGTGGCCTGGACGGTGCAGGGCGCCCGTGGTATAGGGCGGGCCGCCCAACGGGGCCTGCAGCCGACTATCTTCGAATCTCGCCTCCCACGCCATTGCCGCCGGCGGCTGCTGCGGCTGTTGAGGGGGGAACGACGCCTCCCAGCCCCGCCCCACCGCGGCCGGCGACGTCGACGCCGACG